CCTGCCACAATGCCTGGCTACTTTTTTTTGATTGCAGCGTCATTGTTTAGCAGGCCCGGGCTGGATTTGAACACACCACCTTAGGTGTATGTGGCTGGTGCCTTAGCCACTTGAGCCACAGGCGCCGAGCCATTGTGGCCTTTTCACAACAAAGTGATCACCATAGTTTGACAGCTGCCACTTGTCTTAGAGTATCATGTAACTAAATAAATAATCAAAATGTGCATACAGATGCCGCACATGTAATAAACAGTTGATTTGGATTTAAACAGCTGATCCATTCAAAAATTCCAGCATAAAAATTCTCATGTCTTCAGTTTAACTTTACAAGTCATTTGCCTACCTGATTTATAGCCATCCGAACTTGTGGTGTTTATCTGCTGAGTGATTAAGAACCATAATTGGCCTATCATTGCTCAAGTTAAAATATTCCTCAGGCCAACTCTTTTCCATAGAGATAATATGCTGGGGGGTGAGGAGGTTCAGTTCAGTCTCGCAATAGATTCGATTGTTAGCATCAATATTATAAGTTTTACTAGTTTCTGTGATATTAACTTTACCTAATTAACTTTAATCTCCCTTATCTTAGTTATAAGACACAAGGCTATGTTGGTGAACTGCTTTTTCAATCCTTTGCTGCCCTCACTGTTTAAAGCAGCTGTTTTAAATTTCCGATTGTCTTATTATTTTCAGAATGAAAGTATTATGATAAACCCATCAAAAGTGATGTGCTTTGCCCATTGTTATAGGTGGTGCAGTGTTTTTATCTGATGAAATGTAACTAGGTAGGCCAAACTGGTTATACACACACAGGAAGCTATACTATTGTTGTTTAGTCCTTTGATAGTATTAGTTCTTTAGTTTAGCCATTGGGTATGAAATGAAACCTAGAATGTGTGCCAAGTCCTAACCATGTAAGTCCCCCAAATGATAGGTTAATGGATGATGTAGTTTGCTAGCTATATCATGGCCATTTTTTCTGGGCATACTTCTCCAGGAGAACTGCAAATGCTGCCTTTCCTGTTGGCAAATAAGGCATGTTTTATTATGAATCTGAGCATCAGCGGAGGCCAGTGGTACCTTGTCATTTAACCCATCATTGCATTGCTTGAGTTTCCCCTTTGTCCACAATGAGTGGACCTAGTTTGAACTAGAGCATTACCTTGGCCCCTCACACCCTGGCATAGGGTTTATTTGATAAACACCATTATCCCCTACTTTGTTTTGCCTTCACAATTTCCATACAGCAGTGATTCTCAACCTTCCTAATGCCTAAATGCGGCCCTTTAATACAGTCCAGTCACGACCCACAGGTTGAGAACCACTGCCACAGAGATTTCCAAAGAGCATTACCATACACAGAGGCAGAGGAGATACCTTCTTGTTCAGTTTTCTCATGCACATTTGCTAGACTAACTTATAAGTTCATTGTCAGTGGGCCAAGAATCATTATGATCCCATATATATACCTGGTGGTTTTAATTTGTGTTCAGTTTTATGACTGCTAGGAACATAGTAATTCAGCCCATTGGGCTGACTTGTTCTTATTTTCTTCCATGAAGATTTTGCCACATGCTGGAATTAGAGCAGCTTTTTTCCATACTGAGCCATGGTCCTTGATTCTAAAACACCATCCATAAACCAAGGTGATGACCGGGCTTCCTCGAGTTTGGTCAAAAAGAAGAGACCATCAACAATAACTATAGATAAGTTGTCTTGGTCAGGTTCTATAGTCAGTCTTAGATCAGTAGTTCTCAACCTTCCTAATGCCGCAAACCTTTAATACAGTCCAAAGGGGTCGCGACCCACAGGTTGAGAACCACTGGTCTTAGGGGAAAGAAGCTGCTTGCTTCCAATTACATGCATTCCTCCCCTAGAAACTCCCAGGATGCTCCTGTATATACCGTCCCTATTTTAGAATTGGACTTCTGTGGGCCTTGTCCTCCTTGTTGAAATGTTTTTCTGATATAACCTGTGATATGACAGGCATTTCAGATCTGAATCTAGTCTTAGGTCTTTTGGTATTGGGGCTGTTTCATAAATTCTCAATAGCAAGACGGCAAGTGTCTTTCAAATGGAGTATACCAGAGAGCAGGATTATAAGTTTTGGTACTTTTCTAGTTCAAAGGCCTACAGGTCAGCACTGAACAATGACTGTGGGTTTTTGCAGGAAACTCCAGCTGGCATGAATGCAGGTGGCTGACATTTCTAATTTTATTTCATTGTAGAATTACATGGTCTTAATGGAATAACAGGCTACAGACTTCAGCAGTTGTAAGTTGTACAGGTTTCTGCATAAATGTTTGTTTTCCTTTCTCTTGGGTGGATACCTAGGAGTGGAATTTCTGGGTCATGTGTGGGAACTCTATGTTATATTAAAAAACTAATAAGGATACAAATAAACCCACCAATACAGCAAGTTAGTGGATGATTTATATGACTCATTTGTCTTATATAGTCTTATTTGTCTTATATAGTCTTCTGTAGGACTATAGTATGATTTTCTTTTTTTTTTTTTTTTGAGACAGTCTCACTTTGTCACCCTTGGTAGAATGCCATGGCATTACAGCTCACAGCAACCTCAAACTCCTAGGCTTAAGCAATTCTCTTGCCTCAGCCTCCCAAGTAGCTGGGACTCCAAGTAGCTGTGCCTGCCACAACACCCAGCTATTTTGAGAGACAAGGCCTTGCTCTGGCTCAGGCTGGTCTCGA